TTCCCCATCCCTCCCCAGGAGCCTTTCTAGGATCCGGTAACTACTGCCCCATCCTCTGCCTCTCTGAGGTCAATGATTTGGCTTCCACATTTTGCTTCTTGGACATGTCTTATTTTACTTTACACATTGCCCCCCCCATTCATCTGTGTGCCTGGAAATGATAGCATTTCAGATAGCAATTCACTTTATGCCTGAATACTATTTTGCGTTTCTAGGAACCACTTTCTTTATCCAATAGAAACTGAGGTCGCATCTACACCAGGTTAAGTAAGACATGCCATATCCAGCTTTTAAGTTAAAACGTCTTCTCAATACACAAATTCCATTCCTTGGCTATATCAGGAGCAGGACGGCTTGGGAGCACATGTCTCCCACTCTCTCTTCCTGTACCTGTGCCAGCATTACTTCTTGACAATATCCATCTTTGCTGGGGCTGGACCACTTCTCCTGTGGTTTTGATTTACATTTGATTTTGAGCATGATTTTTTTTCTTTCTGCTGTATATCCTCTTTTGAGAAATATCTATTTAGGTTATTCTCTCATTTGTAATCAGATTACTTTTGGCTGTTGAGTTCTTTAAGAGCCTCATAAGCCCTGGTCATTAACCCCTTACCAGACACATAGTTCACAAGTTCCTCCTCCTAGTCCCTCTCCAGCCTGTTGATTGGTTCCTTTGCTATGAAAGAAGCCTTCTGATTTGACAGAATCCATCCATCTCCTTTTACTTTTGTTATCTGCACTATGGGCATCATATTCCCAAATTATTGCCGAGACCAGCATCCTAAAGCACTTTCTCTAGGTTTCTGCCTAGCAGTTTCATATATATTTAAACCTTTGACCGTTTTGAGTTGATCTGCAAATGGTTAGAGATTGAGGTCTTGTTTCTTTTTTCTGCTCATGGATAATCCATTTTCCTGTCACCACTCGTTGAGATGAGTTCTGTAGTGGTTTGAATGTAATTGACACCCCCCCATAAGGTCATAGAGAACATCACTACTAGGAGATGTGACCTTGTTGGAGGAATTGTGTCACTGTGGGCGTGGACTTTGAGGTCTCCTTTGCTTAAGCTTCCTCAGTGTGACTCTCAGACCATTTCCTGTTGCCTGCAAGATGTAGGACTCTCAGCTACTTCAGCACCACGCACGTCTGCCTGTACACCGCCATGCTTTCACCACGGTGATAACGGACTGACCCTCCTAACTGTAAGCCAGCCACCCCAATCACATGCTTTCCTTTAGAAGAGTTGCCGTGGTCATGGTGTCTCTCCAAGGCAAGTGAACGCTGACCAAGACAGCTTCCCTTCAGAAGCAGGCACCCTTGCTGCCTCTGCTGAGGTCAAGACCTGAAGAGAACACACAGCTAGTGTCAAACAGTAGCAGGCTTGCCCTGTGCCTCTGACCTTGGGACCTGAGATGTTTGTCCTGTTGCTGCCCAGGTCCAGCCTCCTGCTGTTCCCCCAGTCCCCTCAGTGTCTACAGCATGGCTATTTCTCAAAGGGCAGGGCCATTGCAGAGTGTAGATTCCAGATGACATATGTATGGGGCAATCATGGTGTGTGGGGTGGGGTGGGGTGGGGGGCAGACTGTCAAGTGAGAACAGCCATCATGCTCATTCCCCGGGGAGAGCTGCCTTTGCCTCCTGCTAACACGGTAGCAGGTCATCCTTGTGACCTTCTACCTTAGGAAGCCATGACTGTGAGGCAAGCTCTGGAAGCCTCTTCATTCTAGCTTTCCATTCAGTGGAACTTGGGGGATCACCCCCACCCCCGCCACACACATGAGGCCTGGCATTAAATCACTCCCTGTCCTCCAAGCGCTCACCCCAGAGAAGCAGTGAGATGCAATGCTGTGCACTCTGAGGTAAACTGAATCTGAACCTTTGCCCTCAGGCATACAACAAATGCTCACAGCCTGAAGCCCATTACGGGCTGGCTGTGTGCTGTGTGCTGTAGAAATAAGCCTTAGGAACAGTTCCCAAGCCATTAGAGACCAAAGGTAGAGACAAGGCTACCATAATGTAAGCTAGGAAGGACTGTGGGTCGAAGGGGACACTAAGAAGTCAAAGAGGAAGCCAGGGCGGTGTTGGTGGCGCACTCCTTTAAACCCAGCACTCAGGCAGAGGCAGAGGCAGAGGCAGAGGCAGAGGCAGAGGCAGAGGCAGAGGCAGAGGCAGAGGCAGGTGGATCTCTGTGAGTTCGAGGCCATTGTGGTCTACAGAGCGAGTTCCAGGATGGAAACCCTGTCTCTAAAAACAAAACAAGCAAAAGTCAAAGAGAAATGTACATGGAATTACTAAAAAGTATCTGGAGCAGCTGACATATGGCTCAGTCTGGTGACTTGGTGAGAAATGTCTCCTGTATGCTTATGTATTTGAATATTTGGTCCTTGGTTGGTGGTACTATGTGGGCAGATTATGAACGTTTAGGACATGGAGCCTTCCTGAGGAAGTACATCATTAGAGGTGGGCTTTACAGGATTATAGCCTCTTCCTACTTCCTGTTTTCGCTCTCTGCTTAATATATATATATATGATCAGCCAGCTTCCAGGTCCTGAGAGGTGTCATACCTTCCCCACCACGAAGACTCTATCCCTCTGGAACCATAACCAACGTAAACTCTTTTGATTAAATTGCCTTTTGGCCATGGAATTTTATTACAGCAACAGAAAGAGGAACCAGTACACCTAGTCAGTAAAGCATCTGACTTGCCAGTCTGGGGGCTCAGGAGGCTGAGACAGGAGGACCCCTGGGGCTCAGGGGTCAGTTCAGTGGAACAGCAGCTGTGGTTCCTCAAGAAACCCTATCTCAAAAAGCAGGGTAGAGAGCAACTGATGAAGACACCTCTGGCCTCCACCCCCAGGTGTGGTCCCCACCCACAGTCACGCCCCCACCCCCACGGACAGACGTTAAAGTGAAGGCAGCCCTCCTTGATTCTCAGCTGGAGACACAGTGGACCGGGAATGTGCTTAGAGTCAAAGAGCTGGCACCAGAGCTACGTCTGCAAAGTAGGAAAGATGTCAGTGCACACAGAAGGAAGAGAAGAACATTCCAGAACAAGAGCCAGGAGAAGGGCCGATAATCTCTCAGTGCCCTATGGTCTACTTCCTTCCTTACTCCCATTTAAAACAAAACAAAGATTTTTAAGGTTTTTAAGGTGCAAAACCAAGAGAAATCACCTCATGAGCAGGTGGAAGCTGAGTCATTTGACTTTCCTGAGCCCTGGCTCCCCCAAGCCTCATTCGGCGGGTGACAGAAGGCGGGGCCTCATCCTCCTCCCCCACTGCCACTGAGAGGGTGCTCAGGGCATCTGTGGGTGTCCAAAATGAAGACTGATGACTCCAGCCTATCTCAGCCTCCTAATCAGAACTGCTTAGACTGCCGTTAAAAGACTTAGCTTCAAGCGTGGTTGGGTTGGGGAATCCATGTCACACCACAGAGGCTTAGGAAGAGTGCCTGGGCTCTACTGGAAGGTGTTCCCATGAGAGGTCGGTTCGACCAAGCCTGCAAAGCCCTCAGCTCACAGACACACAGGCAGGATTTGATGACACGTCCTACCTACCGGGTGCTGAATTCCCGCACAAGCGCACCATTGTATGGTCCTTGCCTGTGGCCTGGCACCCAAACGAGGCTCAGCCCAGGTCCCCTGCTCCCTACCCAGATCTGCTCTAGACCCTTCCCACCGGGGCCTCCCCAGTCTGGCTCAGGCCCACAGCTGTTCTCCTGGGACCTTAAACTTAGAGCCTCTTGGCTTCCTGTTCTTCAGAGAGGAGTTGGTTAAAGAATTTTCGTTGGTGGTGACCTGGTTAAAGTGTGGAGCGGGGGTGTGCCAGACCAGGTGACACACAGGGACCACTTCAGGCTTGTTCAGCCACAACTTCCAACCACTGAATGTTCTCTGCGAACCAGGGCCTGCTGATGCTGCTCTGCAGCACCTGCTCTCAGAGGATGCAATTGTGGGGACACAGAAAACGAAACGGACGCCAGGGTATGAGCCAGTGTTCTCAGTGGGAGGAGGAGGAGAATGGGGTTCTAAGGAGTGTGAGGCGGAGTGTGCTGGGGTGGGTGGTGAGGTCAGTGATGGGGCAGCCTTCAGCAGAGGGGATCCTCTGTGAGTAAGACCCTAGAAGGGGGGAGGGAGGGAGGGAGGGAGGGACGGAGGGCTCACAGATGGCAGGAGCAGCCTGTGCAAAGTCTAAACACAAGGAAGAGCATCTACATTGAAAGGCCATGAGTAACGAGTGACAGGCCACAGGGAGGCGCCTCAGGGCCACGGCTAAGGGCAAAGTCTGTCCTGGCTCATAGGGGGCTGTCCAGTCACGGAGCAATAGTTCATCCCATGGACCAGGAGGCAGAGGGCGTGGACCCAGTCCCCTCTCAGTGATTCCCAGTTTCAACCCAGTCATGTTATCTGCCCTCAGAGTAGTGCTGACGGGGAGAAAGGAGCCCTCAGGGAAATAAGGGAAGGGAAGGATGACTCCAGGGGACGGGTCACACTGCTCCAAACACCTGTGGGGAAAGCCCCAGTCTGGCTCTCTGGGGTTGGGTGATTCCCCCCCACCCCCAGGATCACACTCAGGGCTTCCTCTCCCTTCCCAGCCCTGGCTCCGCCCTCCCCAGGCAGGTCAATCAGTTGGGCTTCTGGCAGCCTCTTTTCCAGCTGTAAGAAACCCAGTCAGAATCAAAAAGAGCCAGTTGCCCGGTCTCCCTGTTCCCTGTCCCTGAAGTGACTAGATGTTCAGGAGCTGGGAAGCTGTCAACAGGGACAGAGAGTCTGGACCTGGAAGGACCTGGAAATATTTATGTTGCTGGGATAAATATTACAGGAAAAAAAAAACTTTCCATTCTCCACGCTCTGGTCTGATGTAGCTTTTTCTTACCAGGACGGTGTCCTCAGTGCCGAAAAACGGATGGCAAGAGAGCTCCCAGCTGTCTCTTCTCAAAACAAACAATCAACGCCTTTGTTACAGCTTCAATGTGGTGTTCTCCACAGGCTGTTTGGACACCTGGTTTCCTAGTTGTGGTCCTCTTTGGGAAGGCTGTGGAACCTCTAGGAGGTGGAGCCTTGCTGGAGGAAGTGTGTCACTGGGGGCGGGACTAAAGGCTTTGAAGGCGGCGCCATTTCCTGTTTGCCCTGTTTCCTGACTAAGGATGCAATGTGACCAGCTGTTTCAGGCGTGACCCCCCCTGCTGTGACAAACGCATCCCCTTGCACTGCGAGCCACAGTAAGTCCCCCCTCCCTCAAGCTGCTTCTGGCCGGGTGTTTGGTCACACAACAAGACAAATGACTGGGTCCTTCTCATGAGAGCATAGGAACTTGAGGTGGAGCAGCCAGGGTTATCCCTCAGGTGGCCATGGCCGGTTTCCTTTTTCAGGTCTCTCTGGCTCCATGAAGGAGCTTAGACATGCTGCCCAGGATACTGTCTTTATGGTTCCTTGACGTGGATTTTCTTTCCCTTGTCATCCCCACCCCTCCACCAGCTGAACGTCAGGCGTTCTCAGACATTTCCCTCTGCCTACCACACCCAGGTGGTGGCTGCCAAGGCCACAGGTAGTACACACCCATGGCCACAGCTGTCACCAGGGAGCTACCGAGGGAAGAGGGAGAAGACCCTTAGGTGTGTAATGAATGGGAATTTTAGTGCTTCAGGAGGTGAGGGAAACAGAGAAGGGCGCTTCCCGGGTTGGGGGCAGTATGGAGCAGTAGGAGGGCATAGAATGCGGGACGGACAGAAGGGGCTAACTGAACTTACGGGCAGGATCACAGAAATTGAGCCGCAAGCATGCTGGGCTCCCAATGGGTGGTAAATGTCACCATCATCACCTTGGTTGCTCACTAGCTGTGCGGCTCTGGGCAAGTCACCTGATCTTCCTGAGCCCTCCATGGAGTTCTGGGGGTGGTGCTGAGAGGTGCTTAGCCATGGGCTTCCTCACCCTGATTCAGAACATCGTTTGCCGAATGCAGGGCAGGCGTGTCCACCCTAACACCCTCCCGTGTTCTCTCTCACCCCTCCAGCTTTGCAGGGAGGAAAGTTTGCTGAGAGCCCTGGGTGTGAGGCACCTCCCACAGCTCCCCTTCAAACAGAACAGGAGGCCCCCGCTCTGGAGCTCTGCCAGGAATCTCCTCAGAAAGGCATGGCAGCCAGCGCTCTGCCCACGGCCTGCCGGGGCCACACTGGGTGGTGAAAATAAAATCAACAGCTAACGAGGTGCTTTTTGAGCCCTCAGGGAAGAGATGGGCATGCAGCTGGGCAACTCGAGGAAAATGTCTTCTGCCTGGTGAACATCCCCCCCCCCATATTACTATCTACCATGTGTGTGTGCGTGTGTAGATGTGTAGAGGGGGTGTTTCTAGAACGAATGCCGATCCTAGCCTAATGCTCCCCCAGACAGACAGCCTCCCGCTTTCAGGATTCCCAGCGAGGTCTGCTCTGATACTTGTGTTTATGCCACCCTCTGCTGGTACCAGTTATCACTGCACCTACCCAGTGCCCGCAACAGTGGGGGAGCCAGACTGGATGTCACACTTGCTGCTCTTCCTGGCAGGAGTGGACGCTGGGGTGGAAGGTCGACTCCCAGCCTCTGCATTGCGGTGACCTCGTTGGCCCCCATGCAGGCAGTCAAGAACCGAGAATGCCTCCGAATAATATCATAGTGCCAGCTAACGTTTATTTGCTTAATATTTCAGGGTTGGTAACCATATATGCTTAATTTATCTGTTTATCTGCTTCTCTTTATGCACTTTATATTTGTGGGCAAGGTTTATTTTCCCCATGCCAAAGGGTTTCCTTGATTTGTCTCCCTCAACTCTCTCGTAATTCTGCGAGCTGGTTTTACTTTCCCTATAGCATTCTAGAGCACGGCGCTGAAGCATTCTGAGAGCCACACTCTGGCAACGGGCAGGGCTGGGGTTTGAGTCCAGGTAAGCCTGGCTTTAGGGCCTGTGTGCCATTTCATTGGTGGCTCCGTGACTTCAGAGAACATGCAGATTGCTAATAATTGCCTGTTAAAGGGCTGGTGTCAGGGCCCAGGTGATCTGGCTCTCCAGTAAGCCAGGGAATCTGCATTATAACATGCCCAGAGGTGACATTGCCCTGGAAGCTGTAGTATAGACCACTGATGATGCTCTGCAGGGCATCTGACCAGGTCCAGGGCTCAGACACTAAGGGATGAGGTATGCACAGAGGGCTAGGCGGTAATCGACTCTGGCCTATGCGGGACCCTCTGTGTCCAAATTCTGCTGGACTGCTCTGGGCCTTTGGCAGCAACTCAGAGATGTATCAGGAAGTGATGACAAGCAGGAGGGAACCCTGACCGGCCTGCAGGATTGCACCAGTCGCCTTTCTCTGACCCTAGCTCATGCCTACGCCTTGATCTGTGAACTCTTTCCTGGCTTCTTTCTTTTCCTTTCCCTGCCCTGCCTCTGCCATCCCCTCTTCCCTCCCTCCCCTCCTCTTCCCTGCCTCCTAAGAGCTCTCCTAGATCTTAGCTGTCCAGCATCCCGCTTCCTGCTATGCCCACATTGCCAGGTTAGTGTCGCCTCTATGTGTGTAAAGCACCTTAGCAGGACTTGCTCCAAGTCTTCAACAGGACAGCATCTGGGGGCCCAGGCTGAGGAACCCTTGCCAGCCTGGGGCCCTCGCTACTTCCTAAGGAGTTGTGATGGCTGGGGCTGAGCTTTGCATGGCCCCATTGTTCCTGAATCCCCAGTCTCCTCAGGTCAGCCTGCTCTGGGTTGGTCCCTCCTCTTGTCATGGGTTAGTAACCTGTCCTGTTGCTGATTGGCTACCCAAGCCCCATCCAAGCTCTAGGGCTGCAGGAACTTGAGGTTGATAAGGAAGAAAAGTATTAAGCAAGGATTTGAGAGGTAAAATGAAGTCTAGTGGAGTGCACAAAGTCAGAGACTAGGCTAAAGACTGCTCTGTCCCAAAGATAAGAGGTCCCCAGGGATGTCCTAAAGCCTATAGGAAGGCTTTGGGAGCCCACCATCCCAGAGGGCAGGGGGTTGTTATAATTTGCCCCATAAGGGGGTGCTGTGGGGGGCATTTTCCTATGTACAGATCCTGTGAGGATGAGTGGTCAGTAGAGATGGTCTTGGCACAGACTCCTACTCATCACTTGAGAGAGGGTTTGCTATTCTTACTAGCTAACTTCTGTACAGAAATCTGTGAAATGGGTACGAAATTGCTGCTTTCGAGGGAAGGGTTGGAAGAGCAAAAGAAATTAAGGGAGAAGGCCAGACGGTTGTGTCTCTGGGTGGGGTGGTTGGTCCTCGTCTCTGTGGGGTAGACAGAGAGCAGGGGCAAGGAAAGTCTGGAGCAGAGACACATTAGAGACCTCGGGTCACCTCTCCAGGAGCCCCCTGTGCTCCCCAGAGAGGACAGTCCGGGCAACGGGGAAGGGTCTCTAGTTAGAGAGCCCGTGCCAACCTCGAGTCAGGCAGGTCATGGGGTCTTCAAGTCTGCTAACTTCTCATCCCCAGCAGGATCAGCGTGACATACCTTCCGTCTGGTCCTCTTCTCTCATTTCCAGCCTGTTCTTACTTCCTGGTGTTACCTGACTATGCAAGCCCAGACAGAGTGACTGACTCAGGCTCGTATGCTAGCTATTCCTAACAGAATGAAACTGGGTATTTATGTGGCAGCAGGCTCTCTCCACACACATTTGCTTTCCCGGCATGTCATTTGCTGGCCACAGCCATTGCACCGTGGAGGATGCACGGGGCCTGGATGTTGACAGGTGTTCCTTCCTAGCTGAGCTACGCAGGTCACCTTCTAGGTGTATCGTCTGTTTGCTCGTCATATAGATGAAGACACAGAGCCTCAGAAAACCTTTGATTTGAACCCAGGAAGTTGCCCTCAGAGCTCAGTCTCAGACACCCCAGCTTAAAAGTCACGTTTTCCTGAGGCTGGGAGGAGGTGGCCGTGGCTGTCTGGCTGGTGTCAGGGGCCCGGGAGGTGATTCCAACGGTTGTGAACAGTTCTCAGACCGCTTCAGAAATGCAGCCTGGCTTTTTTTTTTTTTTCTTCCCACCTGACTGGAGGGTTTTGGAGCAAAGGAAGTCAACACAGTGAGAACATAGAGGCGATTTTTACCAGAGGATATTTTTACCACTGCTAAATCTGAGCAAAGCCACAAAGCCAGCTTCCACAGAGAGCTAATCAGGAAGTCATAACATGGGAAACCGCCAGATGCGATTTTGATGAGGAACAAATTTAATAAAGACAAAGGTTCTGTTAGTACCAGGACAGAATAGGAGTGAGGATTGCCGAGGAAGAGCCAGTTGGAGAGTAGAGATTCCAGGGGTGAAAGGCCACACACCCTCTAGGGACACAGAAGGTGTCTGGGTACCATGCGGTTTACTGGGAAGGGACCCCGGGGACCCACCAGGCCTGGGGAAGGGAGAGGGAGGGCTGGAAGCTCCCAGGGGAAATTCCTCCCCTGGGCAACCAGGCCCCAGGGAGCTTCCTTAATGCATGGGAGCTAGGGGCCTGTCACACATCACAGTAATGGCTGCCCCGGAAGGCTTGCTGGTGGGTGGGACACCACAGTCCCTCCTGCTGCTACCTAGCTGAGAGGCTAGAGCCAAGAACAGTCAACACAAACATGTATCCTTGCAGCAAGAGACAGCTCCAGAACGAACGGGGCTCAAGTGATAACTTCCAAATAACCTGCTCTTGTGTAAGGCTCATGAGTGAAGATGACCTTCTCCAGGATTCCTCGGGCTGTTTGGAGGCCCCGTCGGGGAGTGCAGCTAACCAGTCGTAGTCAGGAAAGCTGCCTTCTTCCAGGCCCGGGGTTTCAGGGTGGGCCCGCATGGGAGGGAGGGATACCAGCCTAGCCAGATCAGCTGACTCAGTCCTGGTGGTCACGAGGTGACTGTGCAGACAGCTCTCCCTCCCATCCGCCATGGGTGTTTCCCCACCAGTGTCTGCATAGCATTCTCCTATTGCCTTCGTGACACCTGCCGCTATCACGGGGACTTGGGGCTTCCATGCCTTGTCCAAGAGCTCATGAGAAGCAAATGGCCTTTGGCTTTGGGAGATTTGGGCTTAAATAACAGCCTGTTCCTTTCTATTGTTTTGTGATCTTGGAAACTGTGTCAGAGGGCTCTTGATTTCTTCAGCTATGATGCTGGGCACACGGACGGGTCCCTGGTGCCAGGCTCACCTCAGAGGAGCCTGGTTGCAGCACCACTCCCAACAGTGCCTGCCATGGCTGTTTAAGCGGGACCCACCTCTCTTGTCCTTGGGACTGTTCTGACTGTGTAGCTTGCTTGACTTGGAGAATGTGGTGGAGTGAAAGCTGTCCCAGCTTCCAATACAGGAGCTAAACCCCAACTCCTTTTGTTCTCTCAGAGTTCAGAACCATAGGAAGGCATTCTCCTTCCACCCTGCTGGGGAGGCCAGCATCATGGCCCCGAGCTGAAGACTTGAACCTGAGGTTGGGTCACCTGCCCCATCTGACCTTCGGCTCCCGCTCCACTAGAGACCAAATTGCCACGCGCCAGTCCCTGTCCACATGGCAGACTCATGAGCCGAAAGGACATTTTCTGAAGGTGCTTGTGCAGCAGTAAATGACATGGGTTAATCAATTGGCTCTTCGTATCAATCCTAAGAGAAGCTAAGGCCCAGAAAGCTTGAGTTACGCAATAAATGTGGTGTGGTTTTAAACAGTAGGCTAACTCCCCGAGTGCGTACTTACAAGTTTGTTTTAAGGCCCTTTGTCAAGAACCAGCCACCCTCAGAGACCTTCCCGAAGTCCCTCAGGCCGTCCTCAGTGCGAGTTCAGGCACCAGCCAGACAACAGCCCCTCAGGCACACCGACTCAGTGCTGCCCCCACGTGGACATCCAGTGCCGTTGCTTTCTCGCATAGCTTGTGGGAGGTATTTCATAGGATTCCCTATGATGGGATGCCATGCTCAGTCTTGATGCAAGGGGAGGGCGGTGCTTGGTCCTGCCTCAACTTAATGGGTCAGGCTTGTTTACTCCCCATGGGAGTCCTTACCCTTTGGGAGGAGCAGATGGGAGGGGGGCAGGAGGAGGGGTGGGAGGAAGAATTGTGATTGGAATGTAAGATGAAATTTAAATAAATAAAAAAGAAACAGCAAACACACACACACACACACACACACACACAAACACAAACAAACAAAAGAGAAAACCTGTCATCTTCCTTTCTGGAACTCTGTCAGCTCCAACAAGAGCTGCAGTGTCAACTCTCATCTCTGTGAACCACAGCTTGGCCTGTCAGTGCTGGAGGAAATCATTCCACCTGAGCAGATTCCCACAGAGCTGCCAGAGCACTGCAGAAGTAAAACGTCCCCACCAAAGCCCCCAGCAGACCTGTGGCAGCCAGAGAGCCCAGCTGTCACCGTCTCCCGAGGCGTGCGCACAGGCCACGTCTCGCCTAGCAAGGGACATGCATGTTGAGGACACACCAGGGAGGCTAGCGGCATCACACATCCAGGCAGGGTACCCAGCTTCCTCTTTCTACTGAAGGCGCGAAGCAGAAGCAGGACGCACACATTTGCTCTAATATCCCGATATCTGGGTTTCGTTGTTATTGCTTTCTTTGAAAATCCTCCCGTTACTTGCTTCACGCCTTAAAAATGAATTACTTCAGCCAAGTGTTGTGTCCCTTGCCCATGATTCCAGAAGGGTTGGAGGTTCAAGGATTAATAGGTTGGGTTCATCCTCTATATAGTAAGTTTGAGACTAGCCTGAGCTACCTGAGATACTGAGCAAAATATCACACCAAGGGGGCTTAGTGGTTCAAAGTACTTCCTGTTCTTGTAGAAGGACCTGAGTTTGGTCCCCGTGATTCATGTGCAGTGGTTCACACCACCTATAACCCCAGCTCCAGGGGATCTGATACCCTCTTCTGGCCTCTGTGGGCCCATATACACATAGACACACAGACACACATGCATGCACGCATGCACGCACACGCACACACACATATGCATACACACATAAATGCACACGCAACTAAAAATAATGTTTCAAAAAAGAAGCTAACCCAACTGTAAACAAACAAGCAAAAACTAAAGCAAGAGGTTAAAGACAGCAGAATTACCATCAAGGACTACGGTCATGGCCCCCG